AAGCAGCAATTAAACTCACAGATTAGATCGTTGCAATTTTCAATTATGAGAAGATTGGTTCGTTATCGTTATATAAAAATCTTTCTGTGACACAGAACAGTGTGTGCAAATGTGTGTACGCATCAGTGCTGCCAATCACTGGCAATCAAAGATTTCCAGATCATACAAGATTTATATTAGAGATAGCGCAATTAATCACTAACCGTAATTTATCACTGTGATCACAGAATACTACTGAATTTACTACATGTGATTATATTTGTGATTTATATCATATGCTTCATTTGATCTTGAATTTTGATTGAATAAAATATTTGTTATAAAATGGTTCAATATATAGTTTATACGAAAATCCGCATGTAATAAAATACTTTTAAATTAAAAATGAAAGGTAACTGAATTTTGCTCTTCTCTCTCTCTCATCCTATACCATTCCAACTTGTTAAGAAATAAAATTAATTCTTCGTCTTTATTTCATAATAATAATGTAATAGATATTCATTTAAATAGTGTATAAAAGTATAAATGATTTCTTTTATACATATATAATGCATGCATATATACACATGCTATTTAAATCAGTAAAAAGAAGAAATTTTAAAACCATGATTTTCCTATAATGCTTCTATATGTTTCTTTATTACACATTCCATATTTATAAGATTTGCCGTCTTTTGCAATTATTTATAGAATGATGTTCATATTTTCATTAATTAGTTGGTTCGCATAAAATGTAAGTCCAGACGTGTATTGTGTTATAATGTTGCCTCCGAAACTGGGAGTCCCGAGTAGAGCTCTGATTGGATGTCTACTCCCACACCTATTGCATGGTATAAGTTTGGAAAATGAATGGAAACGCTGCTGAAGAATATAATTTAAATCGCAGAGGATTTCTAATGAAAAATAGATAATCGGGAGAAAAACTGCATGTTGTGATTTGTTAATGGTAGAAGTATTTAGTTGTTGAAGTTCATAATAAAAATATTATAGAAATTATTTTCTTGTTTTGTCGTTTAGAAGTTCACATTTTTTGCTTAAAATAGTTTCGTTATTTTAAATTACTTTTAAGTTGAATTATTGAAGAGAAATCTGGGAGATCAACTGAGTTTTCGAAGCTGCATATTTTGAGCAGAGCAGCTTTGCGCTCCACTAGCGCCTACCTACTTCTAAGAAACCGCTAAATTTGCAACAATACAAAGCGTCAAAAATGATTTGAGGAAAATTATGAAGACTTTATAAAATACTAGTAAACACAATTGTCACTTAATAAGTCGTAAATTAATTTATAGTACAAAAACATTTTAATCTTAATGAAAATCTAGTATTTTAATCACTGGCATTATCGCCTTGATTGTCATCTTCTCTTCCGCTGTCCGAGCCACTTCCGGAATTCGACTCCTCATCTGAATCTTTAAGAACTTTTCCTTTAATGTTTTTCTTCGGTCTAAGAGCTTCGAAATCTGAACCCTCTTCATCGGATGAATATATATTTGATGCTGACAATATAAAAGAATAATTATTATTCTTCATTTTTTCAGATTAAGTATTTTTATAAATAATGTTTGTGTCCCATTGTAATGTACCTTTTACAGGAGCATTCATTCCCTTCTTATATTTATTCTTAATTGCTGCCAAAGAAATGGCTCCTTCGTCATCTGAACCATCGTCATGATAGGTATCACCACCATAACCACCAACAGATCTTGCAGTACTTCTACTACCTGTAGTACTTTTTTTGGTCTTGCTTTGAACTCTCATTGCTATACGTAATTTCTCTTCTTCTTTCTACAAATTATTATTAACAGTTTTTCATACAATAGTATCACTACATGACAATACTGATTTGAATATTTTAAAGATATATTTGAGTTAATTAAATTAAACTTACTTTAATCATTTCATATCTATTCTGATCTGGATTAGTTCCTACTTGTGACAATACTTTTATACCAGAAGTCTTTTGCGATCTATCGGCAAGAGACATTGTCATCTTTCTATGAGTGAAAGATTCTGTAGAATGCGGTCGGAATGTCAATTTAGTTCTAAAAACTGCTTGACCTTGAAGACCAGTTCCTTGACGGATATACAGGTGATTGTGATCACCCTGAAGTGGTTGCTTGTACACATCAAAAATTTCGGAACCAAGATGCAAAGACATGCTACCATCAGACCATTTTACAAACCTGGCATTGCTTTCTTTAATAACTTTACCACTTTCATCAAAGATCTCTTTCCACCTAAGAGTGTTTTCCACCTTCAACTTTAATCTAGCACGACCTTCTTCATCCAAAGTTTCCTCTTCATCAATCTCATCTTCATATGTTTCTGTATCAAATGGACGCGTTTCTACTGAAAGAAAGTTTGGAAGCTTTACAAAATGTATTTCACGACCTAAATCTGTTGTAATTTTTGGAATTTCCACGTCAATTCTAGTTTCTGGAGGAGGTTCGGGTTCTTCTTCTTTTTCCTTATCTCCATCCTAAAAAAGTTACAGTATGATAATTGAAAATTAGTTCTTTTTTATACAAAATATATGTTAATACGTTCGTGGATGTGAATACTGTAGCATTCATTTTCATTGTGATGTAAAATAATATAAATGCTATAACATTCAAATTTATAAGCTACATTATTATGTATTTAATTTTATCGACGTATCTGCATCTGTATATAACTATTTAAATGTGATATCCTGAGCATTCTGACGAAATGTGACTAATATTTGGATCAATAATCAAAATTTGGATACCACAATTAGTTTAAGAATAAATCATCTGCCTATTCTTGCAGCTCATTAAAATTTGTACTGCTCGCGAACGTATTAATGTATTATTTGTTATACATACGTCCTCGATAACTCCTTGACTTGGACCTTCACCACCACTGTCAGATCTGTCACGACTTCTACTTCTGCTTCTGCTTCTACTCCTACTTCTACTTTTGCTTTTGCTTCTGCTTTTACTTCTACTTCTACTTCTACTTTTACGATGACTTTCTTCCCCCTTTTCCTCTTCCTTATCTTTCTCATCATCTGTACTAATGTCACTAGCATCTCCAAAAAGTGCATCTGCTGTTGGGGCTACGGTTCCTTTCTCAGCAGGTTCACTTTCTGAATCAGAATCTATTAATGGCTTTACTCTCTTGATAGCATCATCTTGTTCTGATGCAGAGTCACTGTTATCATCTTTTTGAGCTGGACTACCTTCCCCATCACTGTCATTTGATTTTGTACTCCCTATAATACAAGGAATGTAATATTTTAGTATACTATTTGAAATTAATTAAATTTTCTCTAGTCACAAACCTCTTGTTTTTAAGGATTTTTCTGATTCATTATCTTCTTTATTGTCTTCGGGGCTATCATGTTTATCAGAATCTACTGGTTTACTTCCTTCAGGACTCGGAGAATTCAAATTCCTGAAATTTTATATTGATAAGGAATAGTAACAGGTAAAATGAACAGAAAAATTGTTCACTAACTCTATGGATTTTGGACTTTCTGATCTCCTTTCTTGTGGAGAACCTGATCTTGATCTTTGCGAGTCACTGTTATTAGATACAACTGATTTTGGAGTACCACTTCTAGATCTCTGTGAACCAGATTTTTCACTTCTTACAGATCCAACACTCGAGTGCCTGGAATCTGACCTAGTTGGAGAGGGACTTTTGGAATTTTGTTTAGAATCAGCTTTTTCTTCTGCAGATTGACTACTTGATCTAGAAGACCTTCCACTAACATTCGATACCCCTGATCTTGCTTCATTCTCATCATCAGAATTTCTTTCATGACCAGAATTTGCTGCATTAGATGGTGAACCACTACGACTTGATCTAGAAGACCCTGATTGATTATCCGATTCTGAACCTTAAACATTTTTATCAATCAGCTTTGAGTAAATTTGAGAGTACAATATAGTATACTGCTTCAAAGGTTCTGTACTTGATAGAAAATAAATATATATTTGAAATAAAATTATTAATTTCTTACCAGAGTCACTTGAGTCACGTAAATATCCCCTTGTTGGAGACATTTTCTTTCTTCGTTCTCAAAAAGAAGTAGTTTTTAAAATTGATTTGCCAAAACCATTCAGAATTCTTTATGAATTCAATAGGCATTACATACTACATGCAGTCATACCTCGCCACAGTAAAAAATTTTACTTCACTACACAGTAGTGCTTCACTATACTAAGCCCATGTGGGAGAAACCGACTTAGAATTATGAAGCAGGTAGAGAAACTGCTCCTCCTCTGATTGGTTGACGCTTCACACTAAATAGTGCTGCCCTCACAGTGAGGTTCCAAGAGAGAGACAGAGAGAGAGAGAGAGAGAGCACACATCAGCAACCAAAGCGAAACAAGTCACACCGACGACCAATGTAGCTTGTCCCACTTTACGATACTTGCGATCTCACTCTATTCGCGTATCTGTTTGCCTGGTGCTCCATCTGAAACACTCGGCGTGAAATTCGACTTGTACTTTTATTGAAATTTTTGAAAACGTTTGCGACGGAGCAACTCGACCGAGAAACAGATTGATTTTGAAGAATAATTCGAAACCAATAACCCCATTTTAGCTAGGATTTTCAGGTCCTTTATTTTCAGATTCTTTATTTTCAGGTTAATACTATTGTAAGCCAAAGATTATTGTGTATATTATTATGTATATGTATTGTTAATTGGTCACTGTACTCGCTGCAATAGTAATAGTAGTTCTTGTAATAGTAGTAGTAGTATTTGGACAGGCTTTGCCGCCCCAACGATCAGCGCAGATGGGCACATCCGCGACTTGCAATAGCGTTGCAAAATAATCTCGCGTTGTTTCGCTTCATTTTCAACAGAGATCAAAATTAGCGTAGCGAATAAAACCATCATGATTATCATTAGCATTGAAATTAATTATTCAAAGTATATCGTCGCGAATGAAATAATCCCGATTTCATTTGATTCGACGTGCAAGAAGCGTCAAAGATAGCGTTGCGAATAAATACGATCGCGTTTCAAGTTAGAAGATTTCGAAGATCATTAAAGTCCACTCGCTTTTGCATTTCTGTTCATTGAATTAGCGTCGCGACGACATAATCGCGTTACAATAGTTTACCTTCCGACTTTTCAGGCGTCCATGCTGCAGCTGCAACGAAGGGCCTCGCCGTCCCAACAACAGCTCGGATGGGCACATCCGCGACTTGCCATAGCGTTGCGAATT